CTATTAGAAGTCAATAACAGAGAAATTTGGGAAGTCACAAATATGTGGAAATTAAAAATACAGTCCTAAATAACCAACATATCAAAGAAGAAAGCAAAAGGGAAATTAGAAGATAATTCAAGGTGAATAAAAGTAAAAATAAAACATACCGAAAGTTTTGCCACATTATTGGGATGTGGCAAAAGTGGTGCTTAGAGGGAAATTTATAGTTATAAATACTTGTATTTAAAAAGAAGATCTTAAATCAACAACCTAACTTGCCACTTTAAAACACTGAGAAAAGAACAGCAAACTAAACAAAGCAAGTAGAAAGAAGGAAGTATTAAATATTATAGTGAAAATTAATGAAGAGGGGAATAGAAAAACAAATGAGAAAAATCCAAGAAAACCAAAAGCTACTTCCTTAAAGAGATCAGCAAAGCTGACAAGCTTTTACTTAGACTAATCAAGAGAAAAAGAGAGAAGACTCACATCACTAGAATCAGAAATGAAAGAGGGGACATTATTACCAAACTTCCAGAAATAAAAGTAATTAAAAAGAATACCATGAACAGTTGTATTCCAATAAATTAGATAAATGAAATGGACAAATTCTTGGAAAGACACAAACTACCAAAAGACTCAAGAAGAAATTGACAACTATTGGCCTATGTAAAATAGACTGAATTAATAATAAGGGGAAAACAATCACAAAGAAAAGCCCAGATAGCTTCACTAGTGAGTTACGAAACATTTAAAGAAGAATTAATGCCAAGTCTTCACAAGTTCTTCCAAAAAAAGTAGAAGAGAAGGAATATTTCCCAACTTACTCTGCAAGGCCATTATCTCCTTTACATCAAAGCCAGACAAAGACATTACAAGAAGAGAAAACTACAGGCTAATAGTTCTTAGAATATGAATGTAGAATTCCTCGAAAAATACCAGCAAACTGAATCTAGTAATATATGTATATATAAAAAACATCATGACCAAGTGGGATTTATCCCAGGAATGCAAGGTTGGCTTAACCTCAGAGTTGGCAACAAGTTCTTAGATACGACACCAAAAGCACAAGTAACAAAAGAAAAAATTAATTAGACTTCATCAAATTTAAAAACTTTTGTGCTTCAGAGGACACCATCTATAAAGAGGGAAGTGCCTGTCTGGCTCATTTGGTAGAGTGTGTGATTCTTGATCTTGGGATCATGAATTCAAGCCCGCGATTGAGTGTGGAGCCTAAGTATTTTTTTAAAAAATTTAAAAATGGGGGCATGTGGGTCACTGAGTTGGTTAAGCATTTGCCTTCAGCTTGGGTCATGATCCTGGGGTCCTGGGATTGAGCCCTGCATCAGGCTTCCTGCTCAGTGGGGAGTCAGCTTCTCCCTTTCCCTCAGCCTGCTGTTCCACCTGCTTATGCTCTCTCTCTCTGTGTCAAATAAATAAAATCTTTTTTTTTTTTTTTAAGATTTTGTTTATTTAGTTGACAGAGAGAGACACAGCGGGAGAGGGAACGCAAGCAGGGGGAGTGGGAAAAGGAGAAGCAGGCTTCCCGCTGAGCAGGGAGCCCAATGCAGGGCTGGATCCCAGGATGTGGGATCTGTCTGAAGGCAGACACTTAACGACTGATCCACCCAGGCGCCCCAAATAAATAAAATATTTTAAAAATAATAATAATAAAGTGGAAAGACAACCTACAAGATGGGAGAAAATATTTGCAAATTATGTGTCTGATAATGGACTATCTCGAGAATACATAAAGAAATTTTACAAATAACCCAGTTAAAAATAGGCAGACTATTTCAATAGATAGTTCTCCTAAGAAGACATACAAATGGCCAGTAAATGCATGGAAAAAATACCTGATATCAATCTTCATCAGGGAGATGCAAATCAAAACCACAATGACATACTATTTCACACCCTCCGGGATGGCTATAATCAAAAAGTCAGATAATAGCAAGTGTTGACAGGGCTGTGGTAGAATCCGAGCCTTCGTACACTGCTCGTAGGAATGTAAAACGGCCCGGCCACTTTGGAAAATGGTCAGGTAGTTCCTCAGACAGTTAAACGTAGGGTTACCCTATGATCCAGCAACCCCACTTTTAGGTATTTACCCAAGAGAGATGAAAACCCAAGCCACACGAAAACCTGTACACAAACATTTTAGCAGCATTATTTGTGATAGTCAAAGGGTGAAAACAACCCAAATGAAAAGGGAAACATACAGGGGTGCTGGGCAGTGCTGTGGGTTGAGTATCCAACTCTTGGTTTTGGCTCAGATGGTGATCTCAGGGTCATGAGATTGACCGCATTGGGCTCCACGCTCAGTGGGGAGTCTGCTTAAGTTTCTCTCTCCCTCTGCCCCTTCCTGCCACACACTTTCTCTCTTGCTTTTGGCTCAGGTCATAATCTCAGGGTCGTGAGATCGAGCCCCACATTGGGCACCATGATCAGCAGGGAGTCTCCTTGAAGATTCTCTCCCTCTGCCCCTCCCCTCACTTGTGTGCTCCCTCCCTTCTCCCTCTCTCTCTCAAATAAATAAATCTTTAAAAAACAGGGAAATGTGCAAATAAGCTGATGAAGGGTTAATAAAACACAATGTGCCCACACAATAGAACGTTATCTAGCTCTAAAAAGCAGTGAGTACTGACACACGCTATAACATGGGTGAGTCTTGAAATCATTGTTATGAACGGAGCCAGTCCCAAAGGACAGTATATTATATGATCCCACTAATGTGATTCCATTATATGAACCCAGTATATGATTCTATTTATAGTCAATAGAGACAAAGTAGATTAGCAGTTGCTTAGGGCTGGTGGAAATGAGGGGATGTGGGTGGTGAGAGCTGAAGAGTACAGTGATTCTTTGTGAGGGGATGAAAATGGCCTAAAATGGACTGTGGTCATTAGTGCTCATTTCGCGAATATACCAAAAGCCCTTGAAGTATGCACTTCTGACAGGAGCATTGTATGGTGTGTGACTCCTGTATCCGTAAAACTATCATAAAGGACAGTCTGACATAACGGCAGTTGTGTTCCCAGAAGAAAGCAGGGACTGTGGAGTCCAGCAGACTGAGTAAGCCACGTCCTCCAGGAGGCAGGCACCAAATAGGACTCGATACACAAGGATTTTAGTAGGGCAAGCCCGTGTCCGAGATGAAATGGGGAAGGAGATGGGAGAGGCTGAGAGAACCGTCAGCCCGTGATGCAGCCCGGCCCCGAGTGAGGGAGGGAAGGATGGTTTGGAGCAGTCACCCCAGCCTGCCGCACACCCTAAAAAAGGCTTAGCAAGGCTGTCAGGGAGCCCTCCGGCCAAAATCTGCCCTCAGAGGAGTTCCATGTCAAACCGATCTGCCTTAGTGTCCCTGCTGTACTCTGTCGCTGGATGGAGATGCCCGTGCGAAGTGTGTCCTCCGTGCAGTGAGATGACGTTTTCAGAGCGCAGCTGGACACCCAGTCACTTCAGCTCCCTATAGCCAGACATCCGTCAGGCACAGTCTCAGGGCCGCCACACAGACTAAGGTTCAAATCCCAGCCCAACAACTTCCTCAGCACAGGACCTTGCTCCAGATAGCCTGTCTGAGCCACAGTTTTGTCATCTGTAAAATGGGGGTAATTGCAGTGCCCACCACACGGGTATGCCTGTAACCTGCCGAGCCCGGAGGAAGCGCGTAGTAAGTGCTCAGTAAGTAGTAGCCACTCCCTATGTCGTATTTACTACTTCTACCGTTTGTTATTTCTTTCTAGATTTTACGTACCGCCATTAAAGTGTAAGCATCGCAGTCTCTGTAGAATGAGTATTCTGTTTATTTTACTTAATATCATACCGTAAGTCTTTCCCAAGTTATCATTTGCTCTCCCTAATATTTTAAAGTCTGCGTTGCGTTCTATAGAGTATGCATATCCTAGTTGAGTTAACCGTTCTCCTAATCACTAGGGTTTTACTTATTTTTTTTCTGTCATAAACATTTTTATGGACACCGGGTGGCGCGGTGGGGTGAGTGTCCAACTGTTGATTTTGGCTCAGGTCACGATCTCGGGGTTGGGAGACTGAGCCCCGTGTTGGGCTCGGTGCTGGGCGTGGAGCCAGCTCCAGATTCTTTCTCTGCCTCTCCCTCTGCCCCTCCCTCTAAAAATATTTGCGGTGGGTATTTTTATAGAAACATTTCCCCCCTGTATTGGATATTTCCCTTCGGGATCCTGATGAGAATTACTAGCTCAAAGATTGGGGACATTGTTAAGGCTCCTGGTCCATGCTACCCAGTTTGCCCTCCGGAAAGGCGGGGCTCGTGTGCGCTCCGTTCCGAGAGCCCTCCCGTGGCTGGGCCCTACCCAGCCTTGGGGAATCGTGTATTTTAAAATATTTGCTTACTGGGAAGGCAAAATGGCATCTTACTTATTTGTTCTCTGTCACTTATAAGGGTGGACCATTTCCCAAATGGTTTTGCCCAAGTGATTACTTCGTGGATTGTTCTTGCACACTAATTTATTGCGATCTTAGTTTTTTTCCACCAATTTATACTGTATGTTTAGTAATTCTTGTGGAGACACTTCCCATTATTTGGCCTCTGTTTATTTGAGTCAAGAGGGACCTATTGAGGGCGCCTGGGTGGCTCAGTGGGTTAAGCCGCTGCCTTTGGCTCAGGTCATGATCTCGGGGTCCTGGGATCGAGTCCCGCATCGGGCTCTCTGCTCAGCAGGGAGCCTGCTTCCCTTCCTCTCTCTCTGCCTGCCTCTCTGCCTACTTGTGCTCTCTCTGTCAAATAAATAAATAAAATCTTTAAAAAAAAAAAAAAAGAGGGACCTATTGACCTTTCTCTGGTAATTTCTGGCCCCCTTTAAGCTTAGAAAGCCCCTCCTTCCTGTGTCAACCGCTCTTCCTGGATGATTCAAAGTAAAACTGCAGCTGAGCTGCTCGGGCGATGTTTTAAACATTGTGAGTGAGTGGAGCAAATCCAACGGCCGTTCACTGGGATGGCCTTCTCGTAAGCGGGGTCCCTCCCTCTCCCTGTGTCCTAGGAGCCGCGTCGGAGGAGCCCAAAGGTGCAGAAGCGCCATGGACGGGAAGGCTGCGGGGGCTTCCTCGGACTTCCACTTCTATCCCATGGATCTGTATGACCCCGAGGACCGGCTGCACCCCTTCCCAGAAGGGGCCACGCGGACAGGAAGGGAAGTCTACGCCGAGATGGCCGAGGGGGCCGGCGAGCCTGGCGGCGCGGCCCTGGGAAAGGCCCCAAGAGCCCTGGAGGAGGAGGTGGACGAGCTGGTGCATCTGTACGCCCTCGGGGGTGCAGGCGAGTGGGGCTCCGAGCTGGCAGACGGGAGCGCGCCCTGCACGGAGGTTCCGGAGCAGCTGCCGCTCGGGGCGCAGAGGGACTGGCGACGGGGGCCTGAGGCCGGGGAGCGCGGCTGCACGGGCTGGGGCACCGCCGGCCCGGGCCGGGACCTGCCAGAGGCCTACAGGTACGTGCACGGCCGGGCCAGCGAGGAGTATGAGTGCTACGTCATCCCCGAGGAGGAGGACGAGGACGAGGCCACCCTGGTCTTCTGCGTCACCTGCAAGGCTCCGGTAAGGGCACTGGAGGTTTCGGACGAGCACCGGGAACACGAGGTGACGGCCCTTGACAAGGCCCTGGAGAGTGCCAAGGTAAGCGGGTGGCCTCCGTGGCTCCGTGGCTCCGGCCTGCGTACCCCGAGTGGGCAGGCAGGGGCTGAAGGGAAAAGGCCTGCTCGGGAAGAGCGAAGAGCACTAAGGGCTCCTTGCCATCCTCTGTTTGCCAGGATGAAATTCACAAAAACATGTTCAAACTGGAAAAGCAGATTCTTGAGATGGAGAATTTTGCAAATCATTTGGAGGAGGTTTTCATCACAGTGGAGGTAAGAGCAGGTGTGGGGAAGCGGTCTCCAGTACACATGTGCCACAGGTGGCTGGGTCAGCGGCTGTGACCCCTGCCAGTCCCGGAATCTGCGCCGACTTCCCGCCCTGTCCTCCCAGGGCACGTTGGGGATGTACCTCATGGAGCCCCTTACCTGTCCGCCTTCCCTCCCAAACCTCAAGCTCTCCTCTGTCTGTCTGGCCTCTGCTGTGCTAGGAGGTTGGGCTCTTCCATGGCCCAGCCTTGAGCAGGCGTTGCAAGACACCCATCCCCCCTGGTTCGTGCCCCCAATTCTTATCTGTGTCTCGTAAGATGACTACACATCCGTGCCTGCCACCAAACATGTCACAGTCCCCTGCGTGAGCCCATTAGGTATCTACCACACCACAGGGATGCCAGCACCCAGCCTCCCCAGCCAGGGAAGGTGTGCCACGACCAGGAGGAGGCTCTCCACCCCCCTCTCTTCCTACGCTGCTCTGCTACTGTTCACAACACAGCCTCGGGCGGTAGCCACAGAGCGCTTCGGGTGGATTAGCCAAGCCCCAGGCCCCTCTCCCATGAAGCTGGAACGTCTTCCCCCCCGCTCCTGAGCGGGAAGAGGACTATTGCACTCCTCCCCCACGCAGGGCACAGGCAAGGCTCGAGCGTAAGGTCGAGGTGGGAGGGAGACGTGTGCGACACCCTAGACGGACTCCTTACACTTGCATGGGCAGCTCGCCCTCAGACCAAAGCTGGTCCCCCCCAGCGAGGGCTCTTTTACCCAGTTTCTCACAACAGCACTGGGGCCATCGCGAGCAAGTGCTGTGCTCCTGGAAGACGCTCGGCAAGTGCTCCCCGAGCCAGTCCTGAGAGCCTCTTCTTGGGAAACGTCTCTGTTGTCTGGTGAGGCTGGCGTCCGTCAGAAGCCACAGCTCTCTTGGCCTTCCAGCCCGAGCGGGACGGCCGGTGGTTGACAGGCGTGTGTGAACGTGACTCTGCTGTGCCCCCAGACTCAGTACCGCCCTCCTGTACTCCCCCGCCTACCGGACAGCACCGTCCCGCCGCAGCCCTTCCTCCCCTTCCCCGTCAGCAGTCTCTGAGGTGATGTGAGGGTCCGTGTGATCCTGGCATTTGTGCGATGCGAGCGTCAGGGAAAGGAGGTGACTGTCATGAGACGTTGGGGGCTCAGGAGGGAAAGCTAGGTGGGCATATCCCAGGGCGAACATCTCCATGTTAAGGTCCAAGGATGCAGCGGCAGGCTGACACCTCACTGACCACCTTCCGAGGTTGCAGTGGCCACAGTGGAGGGAGGCGGCTTGGGGTGAGGGCGCAGCGGGAGGGGTGCGAGATGCTTCTAGGAGAGAACACCGCGCTCCTCACCAAGATTATCCCCGGGGCTCTAGCCGCCGACTCCTGGTCCTAGCTCCCGCGACGCCCCCTGCCCAGCACCCCGGCCAGAGATGACCAGACGGGGGGAGGTGACTGCGGCAGCTCCGGGTGGGTACGTTTCCATGCCCCGGTGGCTCTGTAGCGGACGCGGCACGTCCACTGAGATGATGGCTGACGTCCACCCGTCTTGCAGGAGAACTTCGGGAGACAAGAACAAAACTTTGAGTCACATTACAATGAGATCTTGGAAACACTCGCTCAAAAATATGAAGAAAAAATACAAGCTCTGGGGGAGAAAAAGAAAGCCAAGTTGGAAGCCTTGTATGGACAGCTGGTCAGCTGTGGGGAAAACCTCGACACCTGTAAGGAGCTCATGGAAACCATTGAGGAGATGTGCCATGAGGAGAAGGTTGACTTCATCAAGGTCAGTCGTGAGGTGACATGAGGTCACAAACCCAAGGGACAGCATGGCTGGGGCGGGTTAGAGTGTCCCCTCTCTGCCTGGAGGCGTTGATGTTGACCACCATGGCCAGCCTCCGTTTGGTTCCCGGATGTTCATGATGGCGGGACGGTCACCCACGTTCCTGCACAGCTTTGCCGTGAGAGGCTGAGCAGACTCGAACATGGCTGAGCCCTTCCCTCCACAGTGGCTATGGCCTCCACCAGCCTCAGTTCCTCTCTCCTGAAGACCCGTCCCCTCGCCGGGGAGCTGGGCAACGTCAGCCTCTAAGAGTTTTTCTCGTCAGCTCAGGTGTTGGAGCCCCGGGGAGGAGGTTGTCCAGGCTAAAAAGGCACTTCCAGCTCTCCAGTTAAAAGGGCACCAATTTTAAATCTTTATAAACACAAACACACACACACATCAACTTTTCTATTTCCTTGAAACCAGTTAAATCTGATCTCAAGGCCCCATGCCCTTGGGCTGTGGAAATTTTAATGTCAGTCAGAGGTGGGGTCCCCTTTCTTCACATGACCCCACGGGAATCTGGGGCAGTTGTGGTGTCTGGGATGAGGGGCGGGGAAGGGGGGCCTTCAGCCGCCGGAGCTTCCCAAATGCCAAATGCGCCTCCACACTGACCCCGTGGGGGTCCCTCCAAGCCCAGCAGCACTTCCTTCCTGCTGGGGCTGGCCCTCGTGCTCCTGTTCGGGGCAAGGGACCTGCGACAGAAGCTGGAAAGCAAGTTGGCAGGCTCCGTGAGAGCCCCCGATACGCAGACCTCTGGTATCCACTGGTCCCACAATGTCGCTGCGTCTCAGAGACACAATCCCGAACGTGCAGGACGTGGCACGTGCGACAGCGTTCTCACTGCTCTCTGTGACGCTGAAACCGCAGAAGCAGCCGAGCCGTCCATTAGCAGAGGCCTGCTGCGTTAGCAATGGAGATCCCCCCGGGGAACTGTTGGTCCGTCTGAAACTGGCGGAGCAGAAGGGAGCATCTGTAAGGGGGGCTGGGGGGCCGGGGCGGGGGTGCCGCGCTCACACAGCCTCCCCAGGAGCACCGGTCATCGGAGCCAGAGCACGGCCTCGGCGGGGTGGCCTCTTTGGAGTGGGGGGTACGACTGCTGCTTTTCTTTTTCCTCATTTCCGAGTTTTAAAATGTTTATATCATTATATAGTTCAAAAAAGAAATTTCTTTTCAGAATCAGTTGGATAATTTCTCCTTTTCCTCCTCCCTTTTAGGACGCTGTGGCCATGGCTGACAGGTAATACTTTTGTTCTGAAATGTATTTTCTTGTTCTGTTCCTGTCTCCTCTATTTATCCAGATAGACTCAGTTCCCCTTGGGCGTATGGTCCCAGTTTCTGCCCCAAGGTCAAATAGCAGTGACTTTGGAGATTCACTAGCTGTGAATCTCAGGACCCCAGGGCTGGAAGGGAGTGGGATGCCCAGGCCCGGCCAGCAAGCCCGTGGTCGGGTCTCCTCCCTGAGCCCCTCCTTTCACCAGGAGGAAGCAGGGACCAGTGTCCCCAGCACCCCCAGCTGTGCCAGCGCCCACACTGCGCTCCGCAGGAAGTGTGACATCGTGGAGTCAGACAGGCGTTCCCGTCTTGCTCCCCCCAGGGCCCTGGGCGAGTCCAGCCAGCCTAGGACCCACCTCCTTATCTGCAGGCAGGAAGAGTTTTATGGGAATTAAAGGAGACACCGTCTGTAAAGCAACATAGACGGTGAAGCTTGATAACGTAAGGGTTAAGAGAAGAGGTTCTGGCAAAGGTCAGACCTGGTTTCAGATTCTGCCCTTGCCCCTCACAAACCCCATGATCTCCAGGAGGCAGGAACGCTCGGGGCCCCGTCCGCGGACAGCAGGTTGAGTAGGCTTGGCCCCATGGAGAAGAAAGTCCAGAGTCTGCACACCTTGGGCCCTGGGGTGGCATGTGGGGCTGGAAGCTTCCAGGTCAGCATCTGCACGTGCCCCGCAGCTGAGCACCTCCGCCTCCCCTCAGATGCACACATCAGTCCCTGGAGGCCCCATTGGAGACCCCCGGGTCAGTCGCCAAAGCAGATGGCAGAAGGCAGCCGGCTGCATGTTAAAACAAAGATGTGGGGCGCCTGGGGGGCTCAGTGGGTTAAAGCCTCTGCTTTCAGCTCAGGTCATGATCTCAGGGTCCTGGGATCGAGCCCCACATCGGGCTCTCTGCTCAGCAGGGAGCCTGCTTCCCCCTCTCTCTCTCTGCCTGCCTCTCTGCCTACTTGTGATCTCTGTCTGTCAAATAAATAAATGATATATTAAAAAAAAATGTAAGAATTCAGCAAAGAGGCCCTTCTCGTGTGTCACTGGTGACCCAGCGCAGTGGACACTCCCTAAGGGGTGTGCCCCTTCGTTCTCATTCCTTCCAACAGACTTGGGAAATTCCTGAATACAGACACAGACGTGGAGATCGCTACACAGCCCGACTTTGAAGACCAGACTCTGGACTTCTCCGACGTGGAGCAGCTCATGTGCTCCCTTCACGCCCTTCCGGGTGCGTGCTTCCCTGTGCGTGCTTCCCGCGGGCTCCGCTCCCTGAGCTTTGAGTTAGACCTTTGACGGCTAAAAACAATCAAGATTTAGAAACAAGTATTCTTCCATTCTCATTTCACGTCTTCATGACGTGTAAGGGGGAGAGCAGAGGCTGACCTCCCCTAGGGTAAGCGCCTGCCTCACTTTCCAGGGAGCTAACATAGGCCCCAGGCAGCGTTGGGATGCTTTTACTCTGTAGTCTGCCCAGACTCTGCCTGCCTGAGTCAGTCCAAGTAAGTAGCCCAGATTTTATTTACTTAACTAGCACAGTAGCTGGGAGATGAGTTTTAGGATCCCATGGAGCGGGTGAGAATCCCAGGCCTGCCACTTCCTAGCTGTGTGTCTCTGGGCAACTTACCTACCTTCTCTGAGTCTTGGTTTCCTTGTCTGGGAAATGGACGTCATAATGCCTCCTGGGGCTTTGGTGACGGTTGCATGAGGTAATATGTGTAGGGCACGTCACATGGTACCAGATAGCTCTTAAGAATATTGTTGTAATTACTTATTTCTAAGAATAATATTGTAATTTAGCTTTTTTGTTTTGACTGCTTGCCTTCTCTTTCTCCCCAACACTCAACTATGCTATAAAAATGTTGTATGTATCATTTTGGGTTTTTCCTTTACATAGATTTTTTTGAAATAAGAAGTTAATTATTCTCTTTTGTAACCTGCTTTTTTAAAGCAAAACAATTATGACTGACATTTTCTTGTACTGATAAGTTCCCCTATAATATCGTTTTAATGGGTATATACCTTCATTTGTTTACTGAGTCCTCAACTAGATTGGATGCTGGGATGTTTCTAGGTTTTTCCCCATTAGAAACCACACTGTAATGGACATCCTTAATTATAAATCTTGGAGGCCCTCCTTAGACTCATGGCTCAAGGGGTGATTTCACCAAGCTGTGATGTCCATTGGATGATCTCTTCTAGGGATGGTGCTGCCCAAATCATCAGGCCCCAGCGTTTGGAAGGAAAGGCACAATCACCCCAGTCAGTGCTTGAGACACATGGACACCTCACCCCCCTAAGTCTGGGTCCCGTGCAGACCGTCCCCCTCCTGCCCACATCTGCAGTCTCCTGAGCGGGTTTCCAACCCCCGGGCCATCTCTCTTCTCACTGCAGGTCCTGCTCTACTTGCTCTGGGGCTGTCCCTGGCAGGATGTAGAAGGACCCTGCTGTCCATCCTGGACTTTGTCAGTTGGGGATACGGGTTCTTTCTCTTCCTCCCTCCTTTGTCATGTTAGGACCTTCCAGGCCCTGACCAGAGAGGAAAGGCTGAGCTGTGGCTGGGTAAATTCCTTGGTGTTTGGTTGTGCTCTTACCTGGACAGAGCAATGTCACCATCGGAAGCGAATGTTGTTGTACCAAGCCTGGGTTGGAGGGAGGTGCTGCCGTGGGAGAAGAATGATGGAGGAAAAACCAGGAGTGTTTCCTAGTGGCGTGTGAGTCTGGGGAGTAGGGAGGCTCAAGTACTAACCTGCAGAAAATGAACAAATTGACTCAGTAGACTAAAGACGATGGTTTTCCAAAGCACAGCGGCACCCAGCCCAGTCTTCTCTCGCTCTAGCAAATATGTGGCCGCTGGACCCGTCCCCAGAGAAAGCAGAGCTTCCCTGTTGAAGGGATTCTCTCTCTCCGTGGCTCACTTTGGGCTGCGGCCACACCCCTGTGGTCCTGGCTGTCTTGCTTCTTTGGATGGCGTGGAGGGGGTCAAGGACCCATGCCTAGGGCAGGTCTGGCAAACCGCACCCAGCCCGAGTCCCTGTCACAGGCCCCTCCGCCCCACGCTTGTGTGGCTCTGTCAGAGCAGGAATGGACGTGCTGGTTGTTGCTCGCAAGTTCAAGGTTGGGACGTTCAGGCTTCCCGACCGCGTCCAGTCTGGGCTGCTGCATCCGCTTCCAAAGCCTGAAGATCAGTCCGGGGACCAGTAGTCCCTTGGCGGGGGCCGTCCCCTCCCACCTCTGCGTAAGGCTCCTCACTTGTGTGTTTCTCTCCCTTGTCCTTGTCTAGCTCCTTCTGCTCCAGTGATAAACTCACAGGCCCCCAACTCTGCCACGGGGTCCTCTGTCCGAGTGTGCTGGAGCTTATACTCGGACGACACCGTGGAGAGCTATCAGCTTTCCTACCGGCCAGTGCGGGACAGCGCGCCCGGGAAGGACCAAGCAGGTGAGGCCCGTGCTCTGCAACGGCCGAGGGTGCTCAGAGGCCAGGCCCTGCCTTACGAACAGTCCGAGGGTGGAGGTGGGAGCGGTCTATACATCCAGCTGATGGGGGCTGTCGTGATCTAGGGGCTACCTAGAGAATGGGATGCAGGTGGGGAGCATGGCAGAAAGGGCCAGAAAGGCAGGTTGGCTGGGGCGAGTCACAAGGCCAGGCTAGGGCGTCTGGAATGTGGATAGAGCTGTCGGGCCAGAGCTGCCCCGGGGTTGACCCCCGGGCTGCACTGTGTGCAGGAAGGTGGGAACGCCCTCCCTGGAGGAGGCCCAGCTGGGCTGTCGGGGTTCTGATGGGCCCCATGTGAGCATGTGAGGGGAGGGTAGGCTGGCTCTTCTCAGAGCAGCCCTGTGTTGGTAGAGACCAGAAGGGTATCCCCCAGACCTCTGTGAGGGGTGAGGGGGACCACTGGTGCTCAGACCTGTGTTCTCAGACTGAGCAGGCTCCTGGGAACAGACCCTCGCCTCCGCTGTGGGCAGCCCACCCTCTTCCCAGGGAAACGCAGCTGGCTGGTGTGGGTCTAAGCCTGGGGTAGCTGCCGCCCCCTGCCCCATGTAACAGATAAACCATTTACCTGTTGAGAAGAGAGGGTCAGACATTAGAGGAGCCCCAGCTGAGCCCTTGGGGGAATCAGGGGACCACGGCTAGCCTGGCAGGGCCTATCCTGTGTGCATGGAGGCAGAGCGAGGTTGGGGGAGAGGGCCTTGGGGATTTCCAGTTTATGGATGTGGAGACCGAGACCCCGGGAGAAACGAGCTATCTGTGGGGACACATTGGGTGATCGCAGAACGAGGATAACAGTCAAGTGTGCAGGCTCCCCACACAGAGTTCTGTACCGGCCGGACAGGTGGAGGGTTCTAGGTGCCAAAAGCAAGGACAGTTTTTCTGCCCAGGGACCAGGAAGGAAGGGGAATTTTTTTTTTTAATTTAAACTCATAGAGTGTATTATATGTATTATATGTTAATATAAATTAATGTAGAATGTATTAGTTCCAGAGGCAGAGTTCAGTGTTTGATCATGTGTGCCCTCAATGCCCATCACCCGGCTACCCTATGCCCCCACCCCCGTCCCCTCCCGCAACCCTCAGTGTGTTTCCTAGAGTTCAGAATCTCCTATGGTCTGTCTGCCTCTCTGATTTCACCTTGTTTAATTTTTCCCTCTCTTCCCCAATGATCCTCTGTTTCTTAAATTCCGCGTATGAGTGAGATCATATGATAATTGTCTTTCTCTGACTGACTTCAGTTAGCATCATACCAGGAAGGGGAATTCTTAAGAAAAGGGAGTTTAAGTGATGCTGAGGGAGGTGAGGCTAAGGGGAGCTGAGGGTGGTCTGAGTAAAGACTAAAGAGAGGGCGAGCAGGGAAAGAGGAAGACTTTAGGAGGGATCAGGGACCAAGAAGCCAGACCTGGTTTAAGCCCAGCTCTTGTCATGAATCCTCCGTAATGGTACTCACGGCAGATGCACGGAGGAAGCCAGTGTGCGGGGCCGCTCCCGGCAATCTCTGAAGATCTTGTAAACAGACTGCTTTGTAATGAACTGATATCAGCGGGTGGTGTCATGCATTATCACTGCCTTCCCAGTCCGGGGAGGATTGGAGGTGTATCAGGTAGCTTTCGCTGTGTAACAATACCCTATCCCACCCTACTCCATGCATATATATACAACCTGTTGCTTAAAATGACAAACATTTATTATTTCTTGTAATTCTGTGAGTTGGCTGGATATTCTTCTGGTCTGGGCCAGCTTGGGTAGGGCCAGATGGTCTGGGATGGCCTCCCTTACAGATCTGGGGACGCAGCTGGGATGGATGGAGTAACTTGGATGGCACCCGGTCTCATCGTGCAGGAGGCTGGCTCGGGCTTGTTCGCGTGGAAATGGACGTGTCCCCAGCAGCAAGAAGACAAGCCCCCGTGCTCTGGCGTTCCTGGAGCCTCTCCCAGCATCCTGCTGGCTGCTGTCCCGTTGGCCGCAGCAAGTCCCGTGGCTGAGCCTGTCAAGAGCCGGCAGGGGAAACCGAACCACACGGCGGAAGAGTGCACATACGGGGATGCGGGGAATTGGGAGCCAATTCTGTAATCTACTATAGGGAGATTCAGCGCAACTAACTTGGAGCGACCTGGCCAATTTTAGAGTTGAATTCTTGCTTTTTTCTTTTCTTTTCAGTGTCTACAATGACTGTCAAGGAAACGTACTGCTCAGTGACAAATCTTGTGCCAAACACCCAGTATGAATTTTGGGTCACAGCTCAGAACAGGGCCGGCTCCAGCCCCACCAGTGAGCGTGCAGTGTACATGACAGGTAACGGGGCCCACTTGTGCCTGGAGCAGGACCTTGACCCCAGGGGACGCAGGAGTCCCAGCTTTCTAGCTGTGGCAGGACCCTCAACTTCGTTTGGCGGGACAGGAATACCTGTGTGTTTTTCTTTCACTGAATACACGAAATCTGTATTCCTAGTGTGGGAGGGACATTTGCTCAGAGTTGGTCTCAAAATATCAAAAAGCAATCACAGTGGCATAGAACCTTCCAATCTCCTTCTGCTCCTGGAATGTGGGAAAGGGATGCCCCGCGTCTGGGTCCGTCTGGGTGGCCACAACAGAACAGCATGGACCAAGGGGCTCATACACGACAGACATTACTGCTCAGGGCTGTGGAGGCTGGAGGGTCCGCGATCACGGAGCCAGTATATTCAGCGTCTGCTGAGAAGCCTTCCTGGTTCACAGACGGTAGGCTCAGTCCCGGCTGTGTCCTCACACAGCCGAAAGGGGCCACGGAGCTCTTTGGGTTCTCTTTTATAAGAGGTGTCCTCCTCCTCCTCATCTCCCAGGGACCCCACAGACCATCACTTTGGGGAATAGGTTTCAACACATGAATTCAGTGGGGAGGTGAAGCATCAGGGAGGTAGGGGGGTTCGGGAGGCGGGGAGGCTGGGGAAATCTCTTTATGCCAGGACCGTGCTCATGCTGTCTGGCCGGGCTCTGGGCCCACTGGCTGCGTGTGAGCAGAACGGCTGTTCCTCTCTCCCTTTGTCCTGCACCCAGCGCCTTCCCCTCCCATCATAAAAAGCAAAGAGATACAGAGCTGCGAAGAGGCCGCACTCATCTGCTGGGAGTCTGGAAACCTGAATCCCGTGGACTCATACACGGTGGAGCTGACCCAGGTGGAAACACCCGAAGCCTCGGGCGTAACCGAGTGAGTCCCGGGGGGCCTTTGCTGGTCACAAGAGGCCTTGACGCCTGACACGGCGACACAGCCCAGGAAGTGCATGGGGTCGGAGGGAAGGTCAGTTTGGGACACAGGGGAACCTTAATCTGGGGCTGCTTCGTTTTCATGAGAAGTTGCTGGAACATAGGGGCGCCTGGGTGGCTCAGTCGGTTAAGCGTCTGCCTTCAGCTCAGTTCATGATCTCAGGGTCCTGGGATCAAGCCCCACATAGGGCTCCATTTTCATCGGGGAGCCTGCTTCTGCCTTGCCCCTCCCACCCCTGCTCATGCTCTTTCTCTCTCAAATAAATAAATAAAGTCATAAAAACAAAACAAAAATAAAAAGAAGTTGCTGGAATGGTACTATTGAAGGTGCATGACACGTGAATAAATGCTTTAAACCTCGGGTTGGCTTTCTCAGCCCAGTGACGTTTTACCTTTCATTCACTCAGCATGCGCTGTGGGCCTCGGTGGTGCCAGGTCCGGTGCCTGGGCTCTAGGAGACTAGACAGACAAATCCCTGCCCTGCGGCGCTGACCATCAGGGGGAGCAAATAGAAAACAAGAAAACTAACAAATGCATGAGATGCTAGAGGAACGTAAAGCCACCCCCACCTGGAATTTAAGGGGCCGGAGGGCATCTTGAGCCAAAACAATAGAGGTTAGAGTTGCTCGCACAGAGACCTCTGTGCCTGTCGTGGGAAACTGTGGGAGGCTCACGTCCACCCCAGGTCCTCAGAGCTGAAGGTGCTCACAGGTGGGCGAGGGCTGGGGTCAGCTGCCCCAGAGGCCTGCAGATCCCAAGAGTGCGCAGCCTGTGGCTCTGGCCACCAGAATGATCCCAATTTCCTTTGCAGTTTGTGCTGATATGTTAGGAGCCCCTGGCACCTTGCACCAGCCCAGACGAGGGGGTGTCGGTGATCTGGGGGATGTGGAGTAGTCCCTGCTCTCCCAGTACAGACCAGTGATCTGGAAGAAAAGACAGCATTCCCTCACAGACGAGCCCTTTCTTGTGAGCTCATCCCACACCAGCTTCTCTTCCCTGTGTGGCTCCAACCCCCTGGTCGTATTCTAGCTCTCCTGCTTCTGGGCTCCGTCCTGCCACGTGGCTCTTCTGTGGAGACTCCCGTCCCCATTTCATCCAGTGGCTTCCAAGTCATTCTTCGGAGCTCAGCTCTGGTGTCCCCTCTGCGGCATCAGGCACTCCGTCATATGCCATCACCACGTCATGGTTACCGCCTTCCATTGCCTCCCGTGGTGGCCTGAGAAGTGCTTCTGCCCAGCCTGACTGTGAGCTCTGTGAGGCCAGGGAATATGTGAGTTTTTCCCAGAGCCTCCGTCTACGGCACCCGGAAGCTAAGGTGCTTGGTTTAAGGTTTTTTTGTTTGTTTTTTTGTTTGGTTTTTAAGATTTTATTTATTTATTTGACAGAGAGAAGGATCACAAGTAGGCAGAGAGGCAGGCAGAGAGAGAGGGGAAGCAGGCTCCCCGCTGAGCAGAGACCCCCCCCCCCACCCCCCGATGCGGGGCTTGATCCCAGGACCCTGAGACATTGACCTGAGCCGAAGACAGAGGCATAACCCACTGAGCCACCCAGACGCCCCAATTGGTTCATGTTTATTGAACGAAGTAGGAAGGTGCCCCTCTGGCCGGCGGCCGCAGCCTTCCGTGACCGGACAGCCAGGCCCGGTTGGGTGAGGGCGTCGTATTGGGAAATGGGCATCACCCCGAAGGTTTCCCTTTTCCCCTGGACTGAAGCGGGGTTAGCAGTTACAGCACTAGACAGCGGCTGCTATGGGCTCATATTCGTGTCTGGTAGAATTTAATAAATTGGCTGGGGGCTTCTGTTTGTCACCAGCACAGACGGAGGCCTTCTGGGGGCCTGGGGCTGGGCTCGGGTCGGTGGTCCTCAGCCCCCGGCAGACAGCGGGGGCCCCATGGCATCCCACCTCACGCCTGCCTCCACTGACAGTAGATGCCAGGCGCGGGGCTAGGTGCCCGGGCCCCCGCGGTGGGGAACCTGGAGGGAAGAGGGCCGCACACACCGGGAGTCACAAGGGAGCGAGGAAAGTGGACTGTGGGGAGGACACGCTCTTGGCTGTGCTGCTGGTGGTCGGAGGATGGGGCTGCGAGGCTGGGTTTAAATTCCCAGCTTCAAAGCGGAGGTCTGGCGCTGGCACCTGGCTGGCTGGCCCCAACGCGTGGTAACCGCGGCTCTGCCTCTCTGCCCAGGTCGGTGGTGGGCATCCCAGCCTGCGAGTCCCTGGTGCAGCTGCAGCGCAGGCAGAGCTACACGATATCGGTGCGAGCCCTCAACGTGGGGGGCCCCAGTGCCAGGAGTGACCCCGTGACAGTCCACACCACAGGTACACGCCCAGGCCACATGCCCTCAGGGACTTAAGGGAGCCACCCTGTGGCAGAGCAGAGCTGCGTGACTTCGCTGGAAAATACGGCAGGCCAGGCCAGGAAGGGGCTGGAGACATCAAGGCCCTGGGGTCCCATTTTGTAGACAGGGGACTGGAGGCCCGAGTCACAGAGCAGTCTGGTGGCAGAGCAAACGGGACGGCTCAGGCGTTTTCTCCATACCCTCAGGTGGGCTAGAGGCTTGTCGCCCTGGACTGCGGTGGCCAGACACCTCATTGCTCACATAAGCCACGCGCCACCCTTGGAAGGGCATCATTATTCCCAGCAGGAGCTGTAGGCCGTGGCCGGTCTCCTGTTCTGCTGTCTGCCCAAGAGTCTCCCAGCCACCCACAGGCCCAGCTTGGCCCTGGCCGCTCAGTCTCTCCCTAGGCCCTGTCTGGCCGCAGGGGGTGCCATGCCCCCAAGCCCAGCCCCCTGCCCTGTGCGCTTGCCACCCTCCTGTCCTACAAGGCCAGATCTCAAGCAAGCAGGGACATCGCTCGCAGCCCTCCCTAACTCTGCCTTCCCAGGAGAAGCAGGGCGCCCGAGCCCGGGCTCTGACTGGGGCTGTTCCCCGAGGGACGTTGTGTCATTCCGTCCTCCTTTCCAGCGCCAGGAGGAGAGCTGTGTGATTATTCCCTGTGTTGCTTCCACACAGATGGAGAAAAACCAGCCGAGGGGCCACCGAAGTCCCCAGAGCTGGTGCAGGCTCATGCTGGGATTAGGACTCAGGTTTTTCTCTTCGGTAGGCCATGGGCCTGCCTTAACCTGGCTGGTCCTCCTCCTTTGCTGTGCCAACCCAGTGTTTTTGAAATGTCAAAGTCTGGCTATTTCAATGAAAGGGAACAGAGCAAAAGGGACAGCGAGCCCCTGATTATTCAGTCATCTCTGAATTAGTTTGTACAGTTTTTACGAGTGTATTTATGAATGGGGCCTCTGGGCGGCTCAGTCGGTTAAGCTCCGACTCTCGATCTCAGCTCAGATCTTGATCTCAAGGTCCTGAGCTGAGATGGTAATGCCTGAACCCAGGTTTGGGATGAAGAGAAGTGACTTGACAGGAACTCGGGGAGAAGAACAGAACTTGGCTAAGACACAGGAGTGGACAATGAGTTACAGTGCTCTCAAACGATGCATTTTTTTTACTAAATAATTTGTTCTTAAATCTATTCATACCACTCTGTGATGAGATTTTTGTTTTAACCATGATTTGGGGAGGGCTGTCATCTCCTTCCCTCTCCCTGACAGCCCTAACCGGAATGTTGAATTTCACTTCCCTGTGTCAGACACGTCAGTAACAATCTCCCTAGTTCCTGTTTCCCCGGCCGGCGGGAAGAGGTTCCCACCTGCACACGGTGTTTGCGGCCTCCTGGTTCAGAGCCAAGCCTCTGGAATCGGAGGGGCTTGGGGGTTCGAACTGGAGATCTGTCATTTGCCAGTTGATCTTTTTAACCACCCGTGCCTCAGCATTCTCCTCTACAAGGGAGAATAATAGCACCAGTTTCTTTCTCTTTTTTTTTTAAGATTTTATTTATTTATTTGACAGGCAGAGATCACAAGTAGGCAGAGAGACAGGCGGGGGTGGGGAAGCAGGCTCCCCGCTGAGCAGAGACCCCCACCCCCACCCCCTGATGCGGGCTCGATCCCAGGACCCTGAGATCATGACCTGAGCTGAAGGCAGAGGCTTAACCCACTAAGCCACCCAGGTGCCCCACAGCACCAGTTTCTAAGGGTGATTGGTGAGGCCTGAAGCATCAAAGACTTGCAAACCACTGCTGGGGACTGGGCACAGGGAGCCCGGTGCGGGGTAACAGGAGGGAGGCACCCCGCGAGGCTCGGGCTGCAAGAGGAGGTGGCAGCAGTGACGGGCTCTGGTACCTTCGCAGGCAGCCGCTTTCCCCTGAACCAGCACACCTGCCATCCCTGGCTGACCGTGGCTGACGACGGGTTTACGGTCGTGCGAAGCGAAAGGAAAACCCCCCTGAAGGAGCCGCTGCCTGGCAACACCCAGTTTAGCAGGTACTTCTCATCAGCCTCTCACTGGAGTGTTCTGTGAACCTCCCTCATACTTGCTATTTTTCAGGTGCAAGTGGGTGATGACAGGTGCCGTCTTGAGGGGAAGCAGTCCCTGAGATGGATGAGGGCTGGGGGGTCTGGTGGGGAGGGGAGACTGGAGGGGGAGGGAAAGGGTCCAGCTGGTGTGGGTGGAAGACACACGTGGCCACAGAGGTTGGGTTCTGGGCGGGAGGAGTCGACCATGAAGCCAGCCAAGGGTCACACTGGCAGACGACGGGAGAGCAGAAACGAGGACATAGGTCCCAGGGCTGGGCCCCGAGGTCCCTCTCCTACATCATGAAACATTGTTTTAAAACTCCTGATGGAAACCCACGATGGAGGCTGAACCAGGGTCGGTGGGGAAGACGGGGATTTCGCGAATGCCTGACCTGGGAGCGGGGGCCGGTCCCCCAAAGACGGGCACCATCTTTCTAGCTCTATAACTGTTTCCAGACCTGTTGCAACCATTTCTTTATGCCTTACTTCTTTCCACATACTTAGAGGACACTTGAACTCAGGGCAAATACACACTACTGAAACAGGAAAGTCAAAGCAGTGGGAGAGAAAGAACACAGGTCACGTTCAAGAGCAAATTCCATTTCCAGGAGTTCACGTGAAACGTGGCTGTCAGCTTCCCGGCCATGGGAAGAGACGAGGTCATGGTGGGTTGGATTTAGAGTCGGGAGGATCTTCCAAGAAGGAAAAGGGGCTCTCCTACGGGGGCCCCAAGGGCCACTGCCGCACACTGGTATGCAGCCTCCGTGCCCGGGGCCCCGACTCTGCCGGGGCTGGCTCCTCCTCTGATGCCGGCTCCCTGCTGGCCTATCTGCTGTGCGCGCTAGTGCGTTAGTGTGTGTGCGCGTGTTGCTGTGCACAAGGTGCGGTGGAAAGCGACTTTACCCACCTGCCTCTGCCCATTCAGCCCAAGGCCAGGTGGCACGCAGGCTCGGAAGAGATAAAGGTCTTACCTGTGTTTTTTAAAAAAAAATTCAACGAAGCAGATTTTGAAGATCTTACTGGCTTCACTCCCTGCTGTCTGCACTGGGCAGCGTCCAGTCCCGCGGGCAGAAAGGCGCACCGAGGAGCTGTGCAGGATGAAAGACTTCCGTGGGCCGAGTGAGCAGGAGCAAGGACATTACAGTGGGCAGAGCAGCCAGCGGTTGTGGCAGGTTAAATTCTTTCGGGGGACAGCAAGGCCTCTCAGGCACGTCACCTCACTCGTGCTCCTCAGACGATGACTGGTTGACTGGCTAAGATTCCAGATCTGAGAGCACTGACCTGATGACTTGTCCCAGTTTGGGGACATGGGGCTCAGCAGGATGGGGGCTTAGCCATTTTGGGCCTATTGTCCTGTTTTCCACCCTTTCGGTACCTGGCTGGTACCAGGGTGAAGCGTGTGCCTCTGTCGGACAGGTCCCGGCTGGTGGCCACCCCGTGGTGGCCCCTCTCTGGGACAGGACGCTCTCAAGAACACCACGGGGACAGCTTTCCTGTAGTAGGTTCCATCCGCACCCGGTCCCCTGAAAACACCCGCCTCTGACCACGCCTCTGCTCCCTCCCCTGGCGTGTGAGCCCCAGGAAAGCTCCCCAGGCGGACAGAGCCTCAAGCATCCCCTGCTCCAGCCCTTGGATGTTCCACTGAAAGCTCCAAAACGGGTTTTGGCCACTGGGGCCTGCGCCGGTGATCTAGCGCCTCCCCTGGAAATATGGGAGAGCTCCCCATCTGGTTCTGTTCGCGGCCTTTTGGGGTTCCGCCAAGCTGAGTTAGTCCCAGCGCAGTATCCTGTTACCAGTCTTTCTGGTGCCCTCTAACACCGTGCTGGGCGCTTGGGGTAGAGATGAAGGTACTGTCCCTGCCCACCTGACTCACACAGGCAAGTGGGGAGGCGCAGGTGTCAGGGGCACACCTGTGAGAGAGAAGGTGGGAGTATGGGCAAGGCATTGTGGGAGCCCCAAGGAGGAAAGCTTCCTGCAGGGGGAAGGGCTGGAAGGATGAACGGGAGTCCTGCAGGCCAACGAGGGAGATTCAGAACCTTACGCAGCAGAAGCAGAGAGGCCAGGCCGTTTGTTCGGAGAAGTACGGCGGTTGGGCACGTCACGGGCGCAGAGTCCATAAGGGGGGGATGAGATGAGGCGGGAAAGATGGACGCGTTCTAGCGCAAAACAGGTTTGGACCGTACCCTGCTGGCCACGGAATTAAAGTAGGGGAAGGGGCAGGATCAGATTCGTATTTCAAAAGGGTCACAGTGTGAGCTGGGGAAGTGGGGGAGAGGCCTGGGGGTGGGAGGACAGAGAGGAGGCTGTCGGAGGGCGAACGAGAGGAGATGAGAGGCTGAGAGGAGAGGAGACGGACTCAGCAGATCCTTAGCCCGTAACGCCACCGGCAAGGAGAGCGGCCAGCTGGCTTAGGGGCAGGCAGGGGAGGGACGGGTCAGGGGCCGTAATCTATGGCGCGTGGATAGGTACTGGACACGTTCCAGGTGCTTACGTGGATGGTCTCTCTGAATCATCACAACAGCCTGTGAGGTCCAAACCGTTATCAGTCCAGTTCAATAGATGAGAAAATTGAGGCACAGAGAAGTAAGGGAATTTGCCCAATGCACACTGCTGGTAAGGAAGGGTTGGTGTCAGAGTTCAACTAGAAGCTGAGCTTGTAACCACTGCATTATTTTTCTGTCTTAGTTTGCTGCCTTAGGTTACTAGGTGGATGGTGAGTCTGTTTCCCAGAAGGGAGAAGACATGAGGGGTAACTACCCCACCCCACCACAAGCAAAACCCACAGTCTGGCCAGCGGGAGGGGTAGGAAGGTCTGAGTTCTGTCGGGGACGTTCTGAATGAGACCGCAGGTGGCTGGAGGTGTGGGTCTGGAGCTTGGAGTAGAGACGGCTTCATTTTACAGAGAAGGATTGAGTTCATGTGCAGTGTCCTTCCCAGAGCTTCGAGTGGCCTTCAGAACTGGGGGTTTGAGGATGTGAGGGCGATCTGGCTGTGACAGCTGTCACCCGTGGATCACCAGGGTTGATGCGGCTGATCTGGCTGGCTGGTCGGGGACCCCCTCCTACCCTTGGTGCTCCATGCGTCTCCCTCCCAAAGCTGCATGCGGGGTCCAAGAGGACGACCTTCCCGGGTAGAGGAGGACCGTTCTTCGGTCAAGGGTATAGGAGTAGCTGCGCTCCCCTGCCAGAACCTCCGAACAAGCTCTCAGGGTCCGTTTGCGGGAGAATTTACGGCCGTCAAGCTTCCATGACTCCGGACACAGCCAAATGAGCCCCTGCAGGTGGCCGTCTGCCTTTTCATAGGTTAATTAATTAATTAATTAAGAACTTGGTTTGAGAGTAGAAATCATGCGTTAACGACAGCTAAACAAATCTGCCTAGGGATTTGGGGAGCCACCTAGAGTTTCGTTTTGGAGATACTCGTGTGGCCAGATCTCCAACAAGAACCTTTCTCTGGAGAATGCTGCCTTGTTATAAAACAAAACGTAACTCTGACCTTTTTAAGTGTAATTGTTCCTGGGGGCATCTTGGAGGTGGATTCTGATCATCTGTGAGGAATCTGCTCTTCGCTCTTCTTGGGACTCAAGTCCCCGTCTTCTGCCTGTGGGCTGTCGCTTCACACGGGAGGCGTTCAGAACACCGCCCTCCACATGTGCAGACCACCTGCTGGCCGGCCCCAACAGCTGGCGTCACTGCCCAGCACGGCCAGGCCGGGGCCGCCCCAGATCACATGTGCTCCTTTCTAAACCCAGGTGTGTTGCCGTCATGGGGAATCTAATTCCAGTCCGAGGGCGCCACTACTGGGAGGTGGAGGTGGACGAGCGGGCCGACTACACGGTGGGCGTGGCCTTTGACAATGTTCCTAAAGAGGAGGACCTGGGAGCAAACCGCCTGTCTTGGTGCATGAGGCACAGATTTGCATCATCGAGGTAAAGTAACATCTGGACAGCCAGGGTTAACATTCGCTTTGCAAGAACAGATCCGGAGGTCTTAGTAGTAATAATGAAGGCCTACAGTGTGTTTCAGAGGATGTTTTAGGGTATTTCAGGGGTCTTTTCTAGTCCTTTTCCCTAAAGTCCAGATGAGAAGAGAAGGAGCAGCTTTGGGTGCTTTTCTTTCAGATAAAAATAGCTAAAATTTGCGGAGAGCTTGTTCTGTGCCAAGCACTGTTCCACACTCTTAGATATTTTATCCTATTTCCTTCTCAAATCTGTTATCCCATTTTAAAAACAAGAAAGCTAGGCCTCCCAGCGGTTCGATAGTCCATCCAATGTGGGTTTTCAGAGCTTGGAATCAAATCCCAGCAATCTGGCTCCAAAGACAGTATTCTTCACCACTAAGCGACTGGTTTTCCCTGTTCAACTCATGTTATTAAATGCATACATGTTTGATTTGAAGCCTCAATTCTGTCTTTGAGTGGGCAGACGCTTAATAGTTACGGCTCATTCTGGTTTGCTTCTCCTGTAAAGCACTCTATCCTGTAGGCATGGACTAGTTCTAGAAAGCTGGGGAAATCCAGGAGGCCCCCCGGCCAGTGGACATTGTCAGACTTAGAAAGCCACTGTGGCAACCTCCCTTCGCCTCAAAAACTGTAAAACTTCCCACCATTTTCCCAGCACCTCTTTGTGGGGCCTCTGACCCTCACTGGCTTGCTGAATCCTATTAACATCTGATCTGGTGTTCTCTGCCTGTGAGCCTCCATCACTGTCAAACACTCTGTCATGCCCACGCATTTGTGGGAAGACCAGCTTCCCCCTGTAAGATGGCTGGACTAGAACTGACCCCACTAAACCTCAGGCCGAGTTCGAGGAATACGAGACGTATGAGGCACCAAGCCACAGGGTTTCTTTGGATTCTGCCTCAAGTAAGACTAAAAATCAAAGTGTCCTCTCCTGGAAAGGTAAGAACGAAGGGCAGAGAAAGACACTGGGAGGATAAAGAAAGTGTAGGGGTCTGTGCATAATGGGCGGGGGGGTGGCAGGACAGAACACAGAAGAGGATGGAACATGAGACAGCATGGAAAGGCAGGCCAGAAGCCAACCCCCCAAGCTAGAGCAGTCGCACGCGGTCACCTCGGAAGGACGTGTGAGTGAGAGACGGAGTTACAAGTGGAGGATGAGGGTTGGGTGTCCTAGCTGACTCGTATTTCTTCCTTTAGTCTTGCCTTTGCTGTGCTGGAAGGAAGCTAGAGGGAGGGAAAGCTTCTGGTGGCTGCTTAGCTAAGAAAAGGAGTCGAGGGGAAGATGAGGCGAGACGGCCTGGCTTGCTCTCATGCTCGGAGACTATTCTAACTGTCCCCCCGGGGCTGTGGACCTGGCCCTGAGCTCTGCAGGCGTCTGTGGGTAGCAGGGGGATGAAGTCCGCGCGTCTGGTCTCGGTGCCAGCCATTTTCAAAGCACACGGGCCACAGAGCATGGCTGCTGTCGCAGCTAACGGTGACAGGCCCCCGGGCAGCCGTGCTAAGGCTGAAGGTTTGAGAACTGTGCGTGAGTACTTGTGCACACTCTCCCAAAAGGCCCATTTTATTACATGAAACATCAAGAGGTTGCCTGTTTCAAATGTCTTCATTATGAAGGCTTTATACATCCGATCCTTAAAATCCACAAATTTTTAAAATATCTATTTCTACACAAATTTTGATGCAATTGGAGTGTATGCTACGATATGCAAGGTTTTTAGGTTAAGAGATTGTTCAAAAACAAATGGAGTTTAAAAATATGTCTCAGGGCAAATTTTAGAAAAGAGATATATAATTTTGGAAATGGCCCGTTTGGGTAGTCAGTTAATAAAAAATAAAACAATCACAGGAGTATGTGAATAAAATTAATATGAAATGCTGTGTAAATAAGCCCTCTACAGAATTTCTGAAGCTTTGTTATATCAACACTTAAATTTTCAGGCATGAGTATGAGTTCCTGCACAACAAGACGACTCCAGATATAAGAATAACAGTGTCCCCAAGGAAGATCGGCATTCTGTTAGACTATGAAAACTCAAAATTGTCCTTTTTCAATGTGGACATTTCTCAGCACCTTTACACGTTCAGCTGTCAGCTCCACGGATTCGTGCATCCCTGTTTTTCTCTGGAAAAGCCTGGCCGTCTGAGGATACGTAATGGCATCGTAATGCCCACGCACGTCACTTTCTATTAGACCGTTCTGATGCCCGGCTTCCTGTCGCTCTTGTGGTCCCTCCCCTCCCAGCCGCTCAGCCCTCAGCCCGTGGGCCTGGGCACTGAAGTACCACGCACCCGGCCCCAGTCCGGCTCCCGCTCTCCTCTAGCAGACGGGTGTGCTGACGCTCGTCTCGGCGGACCTGGGTTCTAGGCCCGTGCTACCGCCCGCCCGTGTGTTGTTCGGTGCGTCCCCACCAGGCCCGGCTGTCACGTGAGCGCTCTGCCAGCGTGAATCTGAATCTCCAAGGCCTACAGAGCTCGGGCTGAGGGGCGAGGGAAGGGGAGGGAGGGATACGACACCCGTGCCGTGTCGCCAGTGGCTGGAACAGACCTGCAAAGACGAGGGGCCGTCCACAAAGAAAAGCAGGGAAGCCACGCGCCTTCCCCTCTCCTGTTTTCCCAGCACTGTCGGCGTTGTGATGAGGGTCTCCCGCTGCGCACTGTGTGACGCCGTTCCTGTCCTTCACTGAACCCACGCGCTCAGGCTTTGCAGTGCCCTCTGCCACGCCCGATTCCGTGAAGGCGGGTTGGGGTCTGTCTTGTTCATCGTCCAGTCCCTGAGGGCTACCCCGTAATGAACAGGTACCCACTGCCTATGGGATGAATCCGTGTCCTCTCCCTCCAGCCACTGCCCGTGGGCGCGCTGTCCCTGCTCTTCGGCTGAGGGACGGTGGGGCCCCCTCAAAACCAGCACAGGACACGCGGCCGGGAGACACCATGGAGGGGAGGCGGTAGGAAGGCACAGAAGGGCCCCTGCAGCTTGATGGCAAGACGGGGGCACGGACCACTCCGTACTACCGCATAGATGCACTTTCACTGCATCGACGACGGGCCGGGGAACGAACGAGGAGCACACAGACATGAGTGGCAGCTGATCCTAGGAACGTCCCATAAAGAGAACCAGGTTTGAAATCAGAAGACCTACACTGGATCGCTAGTCTGTAGCTGCTTTGCCTTCAACCCTAGGAAAGTCCCACTATCTTCAAGCGCTCCTGTTTCCCTTTAAACAGAGAAAAAATAGTACTTGTTTCATAGGACAGGAAGATTTCCCAGCGACCGTGAGAGGGACGACAGTATAGGGTGCACAGCAAATGCACGGCAGCTCCTGAAGACACCAGCCCACCGAGACCCAAGATGAGTGGGTGGTCTCCCCGCCGGCAGCTCTGGGACTTCCGGCCCGGCTGCTCTCGTGCCATCCTGCCACCACGGGACTCGGTCCCGCTGGCTGCATGCCCGGTTCTCCAGCCCAGGAGTCTGGCTGTCTCTCAGAGCTCTGCCCACAGCACCTCCCAGCTCGCAGAGCAAATGACTCCGTCTGTGAGGCAATTCGCAGAGACCGTTCTGTGTCCTGCCCTGTGGAGGCCTCTCGAAGCAGACATCACCTCATCACTTTGGGTTTTCTGTGAACTGGAAATGCCATGGCTCTAGAATCTTCTGTTTTCTAGCGCACTCGAAGTCCGACAGTGAACACCGCTCCTGTCTCCAACTCGGCCTGTGATGTGAGCAGCAGCTCAGATTCCTGACTTCACAACCCACCCTGACGATATCCCAGCTCCTTAGTCTCACACGCACACACACGCACACACACCTGCCCTGCCACGCTGCATCGCTGGCCTGAAATCAGGAAGGTACGGCCCGTGTAAGCACAGACGGTTCAGGTTACAGACACACGCGTGTATCCAACCCTGTTCTCAGCTCCAGAGACAGAAACTGCAGTAGGAAGTAGGACATCACAGATAAGGCAAGTCTGAACTCAGGATTCTAACAGGCTTTATGGAATGTTTCACGTGTAATACGGACATGTATAAATGATAAAAACTCGACAACTATATAAGGTCTGAGTGAAATTTTTATTTGATCAAGAGAAAAAAAAAACCTAAAATTGGCACTGAGCATTGACATTTAAAATTCACCTAATTTACACAAGGCATATGAACAACTTAAAGCATCGTAATTAGCTCAGCGTAAAAAACTTTGGTTTAAACATGTTTCTTCTGCAAGAAGAAAAAATAAGTCTAGAAAAGAACCAAACAAAACTTTTTTTTTCTGTAAAATATTCCAGTTCCTAAAATATCACAAATAATCTGCTAAAACCAAATTTTAATAAGGGGCAGGATTTACCTCAAGGCCACGTTCACCTGCAACCCTGCTGATAAACCTGTTAAAAAACAAAACAAAAAGGATTTTTAGAACATCAGACAGTCGAGGCCACGATCCCTGACTGCAGTTAAAACATGTCAGTCTGTTCTCTCCCTAGGTTCACCTGCCTCACTGTATAACCCTTGAGCAAATTATTAACAGAAGCTTTGGCTTCCCTCAACAAAGGGGAGTGAGAATATGTAAAATAACCACAGAATCTTAGTGTCACTAACATGGGTTTAGTAATTCAGGATAGTCTGATTTGAAGGCACCTGAGATAGGACTAGAAAGTTGGTGAGAGACAAATGACACTGGTTGCTGATAAAATTAAATTGCCTTTTATTTGGAAACGTGTATAACTGACTTCCTGCTGGTTCAGACAATGATATGCAATCACTTATACACATTCAATTAAATATTTCAGAAGCACGTGCTTGGTGATCAGTATCAAGCAGAGCGATTACATGGACATCGAGGCCTTTTCTGCATCACTTCCCACCCTCCAGTACTTGTCAGAAGCAGAAGTTCCCGTGGCTCACACGCTGGCAGCTGCCCGCAGCGCGAGTCACTCTGACACAGCATTCCGTAACTCAGACTCTGCCGGTCTCCATACAAGGAGGCTCAGCTCCCACAAAACTTGCTGGACTCCCTGAAGGCTGCACCACGGGAGAGGTCCTCCTTCCACTTTCCTGAGCAACTTCTCCAATTTCCAGCCTCCTTCCTATCAGTTAGCACTGTAAGAGTTTTTGTGGATCCACCACCTTCTCCCACCCTTTCTAATCTAATAATTTACTGTTCCTATTTTACAGTACGACGACTCGAAGTGTGTAGTTGCTGTTGGTAGATAAGTAGGTCTTGAATTTACTTTGCAAACAAGACCTGTTCTATCTACCTTTTCCTTTAGGAGGCTAACAGCAGAGTCGGCTTGACTTCAAGGACTCTGTTTTCTTAGTCTCCAGAAGACCAAGTCCAGCTTTTAAAGCACGGTCCTCTAGCATGTCAAGACACAACAGGAATGGTCATGACTTTTCAAGTTTTCAGAGATTTTTCTTCACTGCAATCCACAGTTAGGGAATCTAAATTCAAGATGAGAACCGATGGCTTGGGAAGAAGACTCCAGCCAGTGAGCAAGTCTCCTAGAAGGCACGTGACGATGAGCTGGGCATGATGCCCCGAGGCAGGAATGACGTCAGAGTAGCTACTGCACAGGTGCTGCTGCCCTGCTTGTTTTCTGCTAGTCCCAACCCCAGGAAACAATCGAGCCCCATTCACCGACTGATTGCTTTTTCTTCATTTTCCCAGACTTTGACACTATCAGGTTCTCTGCTCTGTCTACTCAAATCCTGGTGGACTCAAACTGTCGTTGATCTGAATCGTGACAATTCAGCTACGTAGCACGCAGCTCAGACAACATGCAGTCATGCACACAGAGCCCATAAAAAGGCTTTTGTATTACGAACTTGGATTCTCCTTTTGCGGTCCCCCTCATGCTCATTCCTAGCCCTAGATGTGGGCTTAAGAGATGCCCTTAAATTCGCAAAGACGGGTCTGGAGTCCGGAATATACTCCATTTGCTAGGAAAGCACTCAGTCAACAAAACCTAGGTCTCCCAGCTATGCATTTTAAGAAAGGAACTTCGTTTTTTTAGAGATGGATTTCCTGAGTACATATACTGCTTCATGGTAAACCTGTCATCTCATTCTGCCACTCAGAAAGCTTCCTACCCTCTGATTTCTTTTATACCCCAAACACCCACCTGATGAAGGGGGAAACAGGGAGAGAGAAGGAAAATAAGAGAAGTACTACCCAAAAGCAAGCCCAGACCTCTGAAGAAAGGCAGAAGATACTTGATAAACAAGCCACAGATCCCTAGGCACCTGGGATGGACCGACCCGTTCTTGTCCATCTAATCCCTACGTAGCTCAAAGGTCACTTCCTAAAAGCACTTCCTTCTAACTCCTCCCTCTCCCAGGCTGAGTTCAGTGCCACACACTTACCTCTTTTTGAGTGGTATACTGCAACCCGCGACCTGTGTCGGCTCCACTCAAACCAGAGGCAGGAGCTGTACCTCCTCACCTCAAACCACCAGAACATGGAAGCGATGATGTCTGCAGAGCTCATTTACCTGGAAAGAGGTAAGAGACATCAAACTGTCTCCCAAATTAAATCTCTTCATCAGAAAGCAAAGCACTTTTAAATTATGTGTGCTGGGTGAGGAGAGGGAGATAAAAAATATTCTCAGCCTTTCTGCAGTCCCCACATACCTAAGGATCCACCACAGAATCCCATTAGTAACAGCAACTTCTGACCTGGGAGGAGGAGGAGGGGGCTGACAAGACCTGACATGCGAGGAAGAGATTTAGAATGCTTTCTTCCCATCACCACAAGACATCACTAACGCTCACATTTAACATTTATTGCAGTTTTGACTATTCTTAGAGAGCCCATATTTTAAATGCTCTGAAACATCAATTCGGTTTTTATGTCTGGAGGCTGATGAGTAGAAGTGAAGGCCCTGACAGAGCCTGATCGATTGCACGACACACCGCACCACGGCTCTCTGCCGGTCCTAGAATCTAAGACTTTCACAGAGAAAGGACATGCTGTAAGGTTAACGACAACCCCAGGGATGTATAAAGACCGCAGGTGATAACTTCTCAAATGTAAAGTGTCTTTTAAAAATCATTTTATGGGAGAGATTTCCTCACGCCTCCCCCCCAAAATTGTAGCCAAACTTATTTATCAGACATAGGGTGAAAAACCAAATATATGGAGGCACCTCTTATTCTTGAAATCTCATCCTTTCCTAAAAAGTTGATGGTATTTTCAGACCCTAGGTTTCATTATTTTAAATTGGAAAACTCTGGGGACATGTGAGTGGCCCAGTCGGTTAAGGGTCTGCCTTAGGCTCAGGTCATGATTTCTGGGTTGTGGGATCAAGCCCCATCTCAGGCTCCCTGCTCAGTGGGGAATCTGCTGCTCCCTCTCCCTCTGTGCTCTCTCTCTCTCTCTTTCCAGAAATAAATAAGTAAAAATCTTTAAATCAGAAAACTATATTCCCAGCCCTTGAAAGAATGTCAAGCCAATCTCCCCAAAATAACTGCATAAAACTCTACCAAGGATTTCTGTAAAGTCAAAGGCATTTTAAACATCGATTACCTACTCAGTTAATCATTATGAACTCAGCAGTGGGTACATTTCTGTGCAGTTACTAATCCACCGAAAAGTCTCAAGTTCTGGAAGTGAGAGAAGGGAGATGCATGCAGACTGTAACGTGCTGCGGTCACTGGAGGAGAAGGTAAGAGCTGAACAGCCGGGGGAGTGAGTGGAACAGAAACCACCTACAGCCGTCCACGTCCAAACCCACCGAAGGGGTGGTCTTCTCTCCTCAGCCCTCCCTAGTAGTCTGAGGCGCTGTCTGCAGCGCTATGCAAACCAACAGGAGGAAAGGAAAACAAAATGGAAGATGTGTTCCTTGTGCCTGGAATTATACGTGCCCTGGAAATAAGACTGCTCCTTACTGCATTTTTAAGGTAATATTTCTGCCCATGTCACCACCGCTTGCAACAGCAACCACGTCTGCATCATCTCAAGTTTCTTGGGAACATTTACGCAGAGCACTTGTTCTCAGGGCCTGGCTCTCATGGAGGCCCGAGACCCTTTCAGAGGCTCAGTCAGCTCAAGACTACTTTCATCATTAACACTGAGACATTATCTGCTCTTTTCACCCTTATTCCATGAACGTACAGAGCAGAGTTTTACCAGACGCTACACTATGTGAGGACATTCATCACAGACAACAGTATATGCTTGGATGTTCTTGTGATAAAAACGTTTCTCAGTTTTAACTTCTAATACTACAAATAATCGTGTGTGTGTGTGTGTGTGTGTGTGTGTGTGTATGTCCCACATAAACAAAATCTCTTTGGAATCCTCAGTAATTTTAAAGGAGGGTCCTGAGGCCAAAAAGTTTAAAAGTTCTTAATACAGAGCGTCCAAGGCTTCCCCACAATGAAGATCTAGTTGAGTGAGTTCGTCGGTCTAAGAATACACCCATGCTTTTCAGTACTTGCTAATGTACAAGCCGTTCTGTAGAACTCTGAGGCGTACACACTTTCTTCATTTCCATTTCAAAATAGAGAGAGATGGCAGGGGCAATGCTCAATACGTTTAAAGAGCACGAGTACCAAACGCAGTGTTACCTAAGACAGCTGAGGCCTGACTGCAGGGCACCCTACGGCGTCTCACCTGGACTGGGGGTGAACTTACAGGCTCACTGTGGCTGGTTTCATTCAGACAGCTTCCGAGGTAAGCATTTCCACGGGCTGTGACAGCAAGTTCCCACAGTGAGAGCTCTGACAGTAAGTAGTTAGCTGGAAGTCTTGCAGGGGACACATATCCGTGAAACTCAGGCCTCTAGGAAATGACAGAAAGGACCCACGGACTCCCCTCTAGCTACACAGCATCTGTAATGTAAATAAATGGCCTCGCCTGGGTGGCTGAGTTGGCTGAGCCTCCCACTTTTTTTTTTTTTTTTTTTTTTTACAGACAGAGAGGCAGAGAGGCAGGCAGATAGAGAGGAGGAAGCAGGCTCCCCACTGAGCAGAGAGCCCGATGTGGGGCTCGATCCCAGGA